AGCGGTCGAAAGTAGATGTTTACTCATTCGAGGCTAACAGTCGAATCGTATATGTATCCATGGCGCGATATTATGTTACCGCAGCCCGAAAAAAATCAAGCGGAGACTCGGTGAAATTTAACGAGCTTTCGCGCCGGATTTATTTCGCGGCACTTCGTATATTATATACATACTTATGGGCGCGTGCAGGTGTGCGTAAACTCGGATCGACGAGCTCGATGAATTAATTATACAGGTGTATACCCACCCCGGGGCGAGTTTGAGGCAGCCGCGATTAGGCTGCGCTTTATTGCTCGAGGTTTATGCGACATAAAATTAGTGTTTGCGCCTGCCGAATGAAAAAAGCGCACGAGGTCTCGTTCCTGAATTTTTCCAATTTATTACGCGCCGATTACTGAATGTCGATCGTGCGTCGGTATACGAGCGCGAGATCGATGGATTGAAAAGTTCCGATCGATCTAAACGGCCATTTGCGTAATAAGTTCGACAATTTCCCCGTAGTTTCTATGTAATCGTTACAAAGTAATGACTTAATTTTTCATATGCGTCTAATTGAATTGCTTGACAAAGGCACACCTTACAAAAAAAAATAATAATTTTACAAATTAATGAGAATCTGTTCAATAAATCACGACAAATATACTGATACGCGCCAGACCTTACCTCATAGTTCACCCAGTGATGAATAATTAAAAAGTTGAATGTCATCGAATATATTAACTATCAGTAAACCCGATTTGTTTCTGTGTATATTATTATTGTCTTTAAAAATTGATGCTGGTAGCAATAGCAGTTTTGAATTCAATTCCAATAGACGTAAGTAAGTCAAGAAACAAAGCTTACATCATTAACGGCGATCGAAGCGTGCTGAAAAGTGAATAAGAAACTGAAAATTAAAATCAACGGGGTTCAACATTCTATTCACTTATAATAAATAATCCTTGAAAACTTTATTGATTTATTTTTATAATGAAACACTGGTAATACATAATGAGATAAGGTTAAGAACATATTATTCATTATCAACGATAACTTTTAAACTAATATTCCGAAAATTATTATTAAATTTAATACATAAATCAAGTTGTAATGCGTGACGAATGTGCCGAATCGATGTGGGCTTTGAGATGACTTTTTTGTGCGAACCTCTTTCCACATGTATCGCATGTATGTCTGATACCACTATGCACGGAATTGGTGTGGATTTTTAGATAACTTCTTTGAGTGAAAGACTTTCCGCATATATTACATGAGTGGGTGACACCATTGTGCACAGAATCGATGTGGATTTGGAGACTACCTTTCCGTGTAAATGACTTGCCGCAAATATCACATGAGAAGGTGACACCATTGTGCACTGAATTGATGTGGATTTTGAGATGACCTTTCTGAGTAAATGATTTTCCACATATATCACATACATGTTTGACACTATTGTGCACTGAATCGATGTGGATTGTGAGATGAACTTTTTGAGGGAACCTTTTTCCACATGTATTGCACATATGTTTAGTCCCATTGTGCATCGATTTGATATGGGTTTGAAGACTACTTTTATGATTAAATGTCTTTCCACATGTACTGCACGTATGTTTAGTCCCATTGTGCACAGAGTCGATGTGGGTTTTGAGATGAACTTTTTGAGCGAACCTTTTTCCACATTTACTGCACATATGTTTAGTCCTATTTTGCATCGATTTTATGTGGGTTTTGAGACTAACTTTATATGAAAATGATTTTCCGCAAATACCACATGAGTGGGTAGTCCCATTGTGCCTCGAATCGATGTGGGTTTTGAGACTAACTTTATATGAAAATGATTTTCCGCAAATACCACATGAGTGGGTAGTCCCGTTGTGCCTCGAATCGATGTGGGTTTTGAGATTACGTTTATGTTTAAATGTCTTTCCACATGTATCGCATGTATGTCCGATACCACCATGCACCGAATCGGTGTGGATTTTTAGATAACCTTTTCGAGCGAAAGACTTTCCGCATATATTACATGAGTGGGTGACACCAATATGCTCTGATTGAACGTGCCTCGTCAGACCACTCTTCCTTTTAAACATCTTGTCGCAAATATCACATTTGTAAGTGATTTCATTGTGCTCGATAAGTTTACGGTCGAGATTCATAGTAAATTTTTTTGCAGCGTCACTAAAAATTGCTTGTTTCATTTCGTCTTCGGTTTCGATTTTAATGATGTTCCTACCTTTCATATTCCGCAAGGGATTTTGAAAATGATCGTTAATTTTCTGAATTGTCAATAAATCAAAGTTGGGCTTGACGTCTTCACTTTCAAAAACTATTTCCATTTGGTCATTAAGTTCACGAAGCGTATGGGTCTGAAGAAAAATTAAAACTAAATGAGAATACTCATAAAAAACAAGAACAATAAGAGTTGCGTAAAATTATCAACACTTACCGAATTGTCTTTCGGAAACGACAAGAGTTGGAAGTTTTTCAGATCGGGTTTCTCATCAATCATCTCGGAATTATTTTCATTAGTCAACACATCATTCACTTCTTCTTTCACTCTGAAATAACCCCAGTAAAATCCAATATGTTGTTGTAATAACTTTAACATTTTATTCTCAAAAAATGAATATTACCTGACAGCCGAGTCAAGTATATCACTGGATTCCATCTTGCTCACGTTCAATCTCGTTGAAACAACTTGATTCTGTCTTTTAACGAACCACACGAGAAAACTTGCGATGAAGCACTGAGACTGTATTCGTTCCCGGTTGTTTACGCTGCGAGAAGCACAGTCTTCTGCATGTGTTGCCCGTTCGGCATCAGGCGATGTTTTGCCGCGCATATACTGGCAGGGCACCGCCGCACAGGCCACAACGCGCATAAGCTATGGCGCTCTTTGCGAATCGCGTAGACGCACTGTTTTTTCAAAACACAGTCCAACTGTTGGCAGCACACGTCAGTATACACGACGTGCCGGCATCCTCGCAAAACAAAACAACATCACATCGACTCAACGGCTGACGATTCTCGTGAAATAATATCAATTTTATAAGCTACCCACAAGCGACCGTTATACTTCTGTGCGATTGTGCCTGTCGACGATGTGCGACGACGATTTCCCATGCATCTTCGATCATTTCTTCACCGGGAGGCGAAGCGATGGCTCGGAGGTAGGACCGATCACTTGCTACGTAGGATGGGGTACGCCCGGCCAGCGCGAGTCCAGAGACTACATCAAGGAACTGAAGCTGCTGCGTAAACGGGTCGACTGGTCGGTGGAAAAAAAGAGACACTCGTTCTACCGCCGTCTCGTGGACTTGATCTACGACTGGCAGGGCGGCAAACCGGATCTGCGCACGATCTTCGGCCGCGACGAGATCGAGTGGCTGCTCACGGAGGACGCGAGAAACGAAGCGGAACCCAACATCCTGCGACGGTTCGCGTTCATGCACTTCGTGGCGACGATCAGCGACTACAGGGACGCGCCCGACCTCGGCGCGGACGGCAGGCCACAGTTGGGTCGCGCGACGCCGTTACACCGCGCGGCCGTCGAGCGGCGCGACATCGAGTGCATCTACTATTTGCTGCAGATCTACGACAAGTTCGACGCGAACTACGTCGACGAGGCCGGATTGACGCACTTTCACGTCGTCTGCATGAACGGCTTCAAGTGGCACGCGGAGAGATTTCTCGAGCACGGACAGGATCCCGACTGTCCCGGCTACGCGACGGGCGACTCACCGCTACACTTGGCCCTGGCTCATGGCAAGAACGAAGTGGCGGAATTGCTGCTGAGGAGCGGGGCCGATGCGAGTTCGACCAATGCAGAGGGATTGACGCCTCTTCACTTGATTTGTATGAACAACGACGACGATGTTCCGTTGAAGACGTTATTCGAGATCAGCGAGGAAAAACATCGGTCGGTGTTGATCGACGCTCCGGACAAGTGGGGTTGGACTCCGCTACATCACGCTCTGGCCTGCGGTTGTAAAAAGCAGATCGTCGACGCGCTGCTGAGAAGAGGCGCCGATTGTAATATAGCCAACAAGGACGGATCGACGCCTCTGCATTTAATTTGCGAGAGAAAGTACGACGATGATTTGATGAGGATCTTCTTCGAGATCAACGACGACATCCGGCGGACGGTTCAGCTTGAGGCCGTAGACAAGTTCGGCCGAACACCTCTACAGGTGGCAGTGGCGAATCTTTTGCCAGATGCGGTCGAGTTTCTCTTGAGTCGCGGTTCCAATCTGTCGAACTTCGTTTTTCCGGATGAGACGTATTTCGGCGCGAGATATCGACGAAGCGGTAAAGACTCGATCGGCCACGAATCGAAGATTGCTTCCGACGCGCTGCTCATCGTCGATCGCCTGAAGAAAAGGGGACACGAGCTGAATCGAAGCGGCGCACTGGCGATCATGCAATTTTTCCTTCACCTCGAAAAGATCGTCAAAGACAATCGCGATAAAAAGGTCGGTGGCAAGAAATCCTGCCCGATGTGCGCGGCCAACAACAAGGCAGCGAAACAGTTGTGTTCGGCGCACAGATTCGCGAAATTGTTGGAAGAATTTTTCCAAAGCTGGACGGTGAGATTTTTCCTGACACTGACGGACCGCCGGCTGCCAGTGCCCTGTTGTCGAAAAATCATCGGTATGCTCTCGAACGACGAGGTGTTGATGATGTGCACCGCAACCGAATTAAAGTGGAAGAATTAAACGCGTGATGCCCATGGAAATGGTACTTTCATATTTATATTTGTTACTATACTTTTTTACGACTCTGTTATAAAATGTCTTTATTTTCTTTTTTTCTAGTGAAAGAGGTCCCGGGAATTTAAAACTTACGCATAGATGAACATAATTTCATCAGTGTTCCTGCAATGTATTCAATTAAGAGCTCAATATTTAAAAATAAAATTAGTGTCAAAATTCATGCCTGAAAAAAATAATGTTGGATTTATTTTACTGGAATGTTCAATTAGAGTTTCCAAATTAAAATTATTGGAATCGATTTTATGTTTGCAGTATACATTATTGAATCAATCAAATAGATTCTGGACTAATATTTTGAAAATGTAAAGTCTAGCTTCATAATACGTTTGGTATAGTTGTAGTAGATAAAGAAAGTATTGATCACGTACCGGATTACCCACTATCACGAACATTTTTCTGCTTTTATATTATTACATCATTTTTTTCAATAAAATATTTAAGTTTTTATACATGTATGCACCTCCTATCCGTAACTTTAAAACTGTCCTGTACAAAATTGATGAAAATAGATAAATGCAAGCTTGCGCCTGCACGCGACTCCTTTTGAATATAATTAAAAATATAAAGCCGAAAAAGTGGTTTTGTGCGAACAAGGCTCGCGAATTCGTCCATTACGGGGTCGCGTTTGTGTGCGACGATTACGAGTTAAGAGAGTTAAGAAAAGCTGATTTTCCTTGAAAACTTTATTGATCATTTTTAAAATAAAACATTGGTATTATATAATAAAACAAGGCTGACATATGATCTTATCAGCGAAAACCTTTTAACTAATCTTACAAAAATTTACCTTAAATTTAAGACATTAATCAAGTGGTGATTCGAGACGAATGTACCGAATCCATGTGAATTTTGAGATACGAACTTGTTGCAAATCTCTTTCCACAAATACCACATGAGAAAGTGACACCATTATGCGCTGATTTAACGTGCTTCGTCAGATTACCCTTCCTTGTAAACGTCTTACCACAATTATCACATGAGTAGGTGATACTATTGTGTATTGATTCAATGTGGATTTGGAGATACCATTTAGTTGAGAGTGTCTTTCCGCATATATTACATGAGTAGGTCACACCATTATGCGCTGATTTAACGTGCCTCGTCAGATCACCCTTCGTTGTAAACGTCTTACCACAATTATCACATGAGTAGGTGATACTATTGTGTATTGATTCAATGTGGATTTGGAGATACCATTTGGTTGAGAGTGTCTTTCCGCATATATTACATGAGTAGGTCACACCATTATGCGCTGATTTAACGTGCCTTGTCAAATCACCCTTCCTTATAAACGTCTTGCCACAAATATCACATAAATTTTTGACACCATTGTGCACCGCATTTATGTGGTCTTTTACATAATTTTTGGATGAAAATGATTTTTCACAAATGTTACATGAGTGGTTGACACCATTATGCGCTGATTGAACGTGCCTTGTCAAATCATTCTTCCTTTGATACGTCTTTCCACAAATAGTACATGAATGTTTGATACCATTGTGCACCGCATTTATGTGGTCTTTGATATAGTTTTTGGATGAAAATGATTTTCCACAAATATCACATGAGTGGATGACACCATCATGCACTGAATTGATGTGCTGTTTGAGATTACTTTTTTGTGAAAATGTCTTGCTGCATACATCACATGAGTAAGTAATACACTGATGAAATGATCTGACATGCCTACTTATACTGTTCTTATGTAAAAATTTCTTTTTACATATTTTACATGTTTGGCTTGTATCATTATGCTCTGAAATAATTAGTTTTTTGGGTCTGCGTTCGCTGTTACACTTTTCTGTAATTCTTCTTTTTCTATTTTGTTTGACTGGTTCATTATCTAAATTCAAGTTCAGTCCTGCTGCAACGTCACCAAAAATTTCTTGTTTTATTTCCTTCAAGGGTTCTATTTTAATTATATTTTGAACTTTATCGCCATCACTATTTATCACATTGTTCAAGCAATTTTGAGAATAATTATACACTTTTTGAACTTTTAATGAATCCACATTTGGTTTCACGTCCTCACATTCAACGACTATTTCCACATCGTTGTCAAATTCATTTTCAAGTTTAAGGTCACACTTTGAAAGGATATGAGTCTGTAGAAAAATTAAAACTATGTTAGAATTTCCAGAAAAAAAAATGACATTAAGAGTCACCAAAAATTAACAATACTTACAGAATTTTCTAGCACAAATGGTAAGAATTGGAAGTTTTTCGGATCAGGTTTCTTGTCCATCATCTCGCAATTATTTTCAGTAATGCCAGTCTCCTCGTTGACTCTGAAATAACCCCAGTTGAATCAAATATGTTGTTGTAATACTTTTACATTTTCATTCTCATCAAATGAAAATTACCTGACAGCAGACTTGAGTACATTATCATTGGATTCCATCTTTCTGCCGTGGAGTATCGTTGACACAGATAATCGAGCGAGCTGACTCTACACGACAAAGCTCACAAAGAGCACTGAGACTTGAGAGTGCTGTGTTCTTTCTGCGTCGTTTACGTAGCGCGCGACTCTGCACGAGTTGATAACCGTCACGCAATGTTTTGCCGTGCATACCGCCAAAGAAGATAGACACGTATAGAAGCACAGAACTATAGGCGCGATTGAGGCTGGCTCATATGGTACCAAAACCAACTTCAAGGGGGCGCGGCGAGCAACCTAAGCCTGTAATGTATAACCAACATTTAGTCCCTTAGTTACCAAAGTCTTCGTGGTCGAGTGGTCAAGCGCTCGGCTTCGTCTTTTGCGTCGAGCGGTCGGGCCTTGGTTCAATCCCAGGCCGCAGATATTTTTTTTTACATTTTTTTCTCAAATTACAAAGAATAAAGTAAGGATTTCGTTTTTAGCTCATATTGGTCGTAAAATTAAAATTGCATTGATAATCAAACGTTTTTTTTCATGTTCTTTTTTCTACAAAAAAATAAAAAATCACATTTAATTCAAACGCAAATTAAATTAAATTAATGTATATTTAGACGCCTCGAAAAAAAATTTCGTGTCAATTTCGTTAAATGAAGTTTCTTTTTTATGAAAATATCTCGGACTCCAATTTTAAATGGACCGTATCGCTTGATTATTATTTTTCACATTTAAAAAAAACCCTTAATAAATAAATTTATCAGAGTATTTTTAATTTTATAAGCAATATTAGCTAGAAGCGAAATCCTTACTTTATTCTTTGTAATTTGAGAAAAAAATGTAAAAAAAAATATCTGCGGCCAGGGATTGAACCAAGGCCCGACCGCTCGACGCAAAAGACGAAGCCGAGCGCTTGACCACTCGACCACGAAGACTTTGGTAACTAAGAGACTAAATGTTGGTTATACATTACAGGCTTAGGTTGCTCGCCGCGCCCCCTTGAAGTTGGTTTTGGTATCATATGAGCCAGCCTCAATTTTTAGTTAAGCTCTGGGCTTCTATACGTGTCTATCTTCTTTGATACCGCACGATAGCGCTGCGATACACGCGGAGCGGCGGAGGAGGCGCCCTATATGTGCTCAGTGATGACTGCTGTCAGCAGAACTGATTTGATCGCACAGAAGTTTGTGTTCTTTGCACAAAGATAGTTTTCAAAATTCTATCAGCGAGCGTCGAGCACTGTTCTGTGTTTTTTCCTGTGTAGAGTTGGTTTATATTTCTTAAAATTTCGTTGTTATCCTTGCAATTAGAAGCAAAACTAAGTCGTTTTGATTATTACATCGTCGAGCTATACGCCGCAACGTGAAACAAAAAAAGATCGCATCACCTCGATTGTTATTGCTGACGACTCAATTGTGAAAGAGATCAATTTTGTAAATTACTCATAAGTGACCGTAATTCTGTGTGATTGTGCAAAATGTCCGACGACGATTACGAACCTAACGTACACGATGAATTCTGGTATGAAGAACGGGACAGATTCAGAGGACGTGCAGCTCAACGGCGCCCCGTGTACCACCGAAACTATATAAGCGAACTGACGAGCTTACGAAAAAATTACAAATGGGATGTACCAGAAGAGCGACGAGAATTTTTTATGAAACTTTATCCGTTAATTAGTGTATGGAAGGGCCAATTCCCAAATCTCCGACTCATCTTTAGTACCCGAGAAGTTGATTGGCTTCTCTTGGCGATGCTGTTGATCAAGACCGACGTCAACGACGTCCACGTCGCTGTAGATCTTACAATTATCAATTTTGTGACGAGGAGCGGCTACAAGGACGAGCCCGACCTCGGCGAGGACGGCAAGCTACAGCTGTGTCGCAACACGGCGATTCATCACGCGGTCTTGCAGGAAAACTACGAAGTCATCTCGATTCTCTGGCAGGTATACGACAGGTTCTACGTCAATTACACCAACGAGCTCGGCATGACGCATTTTCACGCGGCCTGCGTGTCCGGCAACGTCGACGTCGTGAAAAGATTCCTCGATCTCGGCCAGGATCCCAATTGCCCTCCCGCTGATGAATCGGAGGGCAGTGTGGCCATTTCGCCGTTGCACTTGGCTCTGGCCTACGATCGGAGGGAGGTGGCCGAGTTGCTGCTGAGACAGGGCGCCGATCCGCTCGGGACAGACGCGTACGGATCGACGGCTCTGCACGTCATCTGCAAGAGTAGCCACGACGTTGAGATGTTGGAGGTGTTCCTGAAGACGGTGCCGGTCGATGCCCAGGACAGCTTGGGTCGGACGCCGCTGCAATGCGCCGTGGCGAGTCTTTCGCCGGATTCGGTCGATGCACTATTGAATCGTGGCGCCGATCTGTCCAAATTCGTTTTTCCGACCGAGAATTACTTCGGTTCGGCCTATCGACGTCTGATTAGAAACGAATTGGACGGCAACGAATCGAACGTAGCTTCCAACGCGCTGACCGTCGTCGAATGCCTGGAGAAGAGAGGATTTGAACTGGGTCGAAGCGACGCGCTGACGATCATGATATTCTTCGCTCGCGTTGGAAAGCCCGGCAAAGTATCCGAGGACTACTGCGCGATGTGCGCGGCAGACGACGAGGCGAAGGAACCGCTGTGTTCCGCGCACGAATCCACGACACTGACGAGAGGATTTTGCCAGCGTTGGGCCTTGGAATTTTTCTTGACGCTGACGGGCCAACGGCTGCCGATTCTCTGCTGCGAAAAGATCATCGACCGGCTGACGAACGAGGATTTGGCCACGATGTGCGTCGCGGTCGAGATGGCTGTGAATAAACAGAGCCAATTGCACGAGATTTATGACGAAGGTACTTTGATATTTATATCTCAACTTTTGCAATTATATTTTTCTCTGACTCTGTCATCAACTTTTTTTCGTATTTTTTTTCTAGGCAACGAGATCGAAGAATTTAAAAATTTACGCATAAATGTATAATTTTGGATTGTAGTTTTATCATTGTGTGTTCCAATTATGCGTTTAATAAAGAGCTCATTATTTAAAAATAAAATTATTAGTCTTGAGTGTACATCATTAAAGCAATTGATTTACATTTCGGTTGATATATTTACGGGAAATAACAATGACCACAAATAACCTCAAGGCTCATGTTTTTCAATGACATATTATTTGTTGAAGTTGGCTGCGCTTGTTTGTGCTCGATACGTAGACGTGCAGGTCGTATATAAGTCAATGTAGACCCTCAATTCGGTATTTTCTACGACGCAGCAGCGCAAACAACGAAAAACCACAGCTTTTAATTCTCGTGATTAATACAATTTTTTTTTTATAAATTGCGTTTGTTGTTTACGCTGCTCGACGACGACTCCGATCTCGACTTCAAATGGATTACTCCGACGAAGAGAGCTCCTGCGATCTCCGAGGTTACGACGAGAACGATGATCTTACCGAACTGAAGAGATTGCGAGAAAAAATAGATTGGAACGACGAAGAAGAGAGATGCGAATTTCTTGAAAAACTTCGAGAGTCGAGCGATAACTGGGATCGCTTGCTTCCTCCTGATCTTCGAGACTTCTTCAAACCCGAAGAAATCGATTGGATTCTCAAGGATGATATCGAGCCCGTGAACCAACGCAGCTTCATCGACTTTGCGATCAGGACCGGCTACAAGGACAAACCCCGAGTCGACGAAGACGGCAAACCACTGTTGAATCGCTCAACAGCACTGCATCGCGCGGCCAGAGAAAAGCCTCGTTTCTGGAGAGACAAGATCCGCAGGCTTTTTCAAATATACGACAGGTTCGACGTCAACTACACCGACGATGGCGGCTTCAGTCACTTCCACGTGGCCTGCACGGCCGGCTGCGAGGACGTCGTCGAGAAATTTCTCGAGGCCGGCCAGGATCCCAATTGCCTCGTGTCGGAAATGAACGATTCGCCGCTGCTCCTGGCCACGCTCTTCGAGCACGACAAGATAGTCGAGTCGCTGCTGAGACACGACGCTGACCCGAATTTGGCCGATAGAGCGGGATTGACTCCTCTGCACGTCGTTTGCCTGAGCGACGACGACAAACGCTTGGCGAAGACGTTGCTCGAGATCAGCGTAGAAAAGCGTCGACTGGTGCGGCTCGACGCGAAGGACACGAAAGGCCGGACACCGCTGCAATTGGCCGTGGCGAATCTTTTGCCGGCTCTGATCGACGTTCTTTTGGATTACGGTGCCGACTTGTCTAGGTTCGTTTTTCCCGACCACTTTGGCGAAAAATATCGACGGAAGAATAACGTCTGTACCGGCCAAGAATGGAAGGTAGCTTCCGACGCGCTGCTCACCGTCGATTGCCTGAAGAAACGAGGATACGAACTGGGCAGAAACGACGTACTGACTGTCATGAAATTTTTCGTTTACCTCGAAAACATCGTCGAACCTTTGCGCATATCCGAGATTCATCGCAGCAAATTTTTCCAGCGCTGGGCGCTGGAATTTTTCTTAGCGCTGACGTACCACCGGCTACCTCGTATCTGCTGTCGAATGATTGTCGATCAGCTGAGTAACGGAGATATGCTGATGATGTGCATCGCGGCCGATACACAAATTCGAATGAATTTGATGTCCAAGGGAAAGGTGATTTCCGATTTATTTTATCTATTGTCGCTATAATTTTTTATGACTCTTTTATCAACTTTCTTCGTCTTTCTTTTCTAGTCGAGGAGATCAAAGAAGGTCAAGTGTCGTTGATATAATTTTATATTTTTCTAAAATAAAATATTATTGGAATTTATCCTACGCTAAAGTATACGTCATTGAATCAGTCAATTAGATTTGGATTTAATATATTAACAATACAAAACCCAGCTGATTAATGCGTTTCATTGAAGAGAATTATAAGACATTAAAGAAAAAATAGGAAAATGCTCGACATATCAAACGCTTATTATGTAGTTAGTTTGTACCCGTGCAGTCTGAATTTATGGTAATGAAATCCTGTGTCGAGAGATACCGTTCTTGTCTACAAATGAGCAG